CGCAACTCTAAATAACTACCACGGTAATATCACTTTAGTTAGATTGACAATCAATCTAACAAATTTCGATGCTTATAGCATCTTATTAGATCTTAATAATATGTTGAAAGACATATATTAAAATTTAATATTAAAGTAATGATAATTGAAAACTGTGAAAAATAAGATTGTCACAAGTATATACAGATATGCGCGTATTTCAGCACTTGCGAGAAACTTTACGAATATCCATAGACCTCTGATGGCGAGTCGACGTAATAATATTCTTCGCAATCATTTTATCTAAACTAGTAAAAACTGTATATATAGAATCTCGATTTAATAACTAAAACAGGCGTCTAAGGTAGGCTCCCACTTCATTACCTTACTGATGAGTTCAGTAGTGGAAGCCGGGACGAAACGCCAACTTGTGATATTCTTCGCAATCTTATTTTTCACAAGATAGATTTATCATTGCTTTAATATTGGTTAAAATTTTAATATATGTCTTTCAACATATTATTAAGATCCAATAAGATGCTATAAGCATCTAAAATTGTTAGATTGCTTGTCAATTTAACTAAAGTGATATTACCGCGGTAGTTGTTTAGAGTTGTGTTGTAAATCTGAAAAAATTTTCGGCATGCGATTGAGTGAACTACATACGCAGTATATAACTTCACACATTATACTAACAACAATTGTAATCTAGCTTTGACCGTTAATGGCTTTGCTTCGTGCTTCCTTTCTTCTTATTATTGTTTATCAATAAGTACGGTCGTAAAAAGATTCTTATATTTATTTTAAACATATATTATCTATTGATTGATGTGAAATCATTGAGTAATATTACATTAATATCTATAAATAAAATTTGACGAAATTCCGTTATTAAGAAATCGTGCAGATAATAATCGATCAACATGCTTAATTTTTTACTATCAAAATTTTAATTGGATGATTAGTAATGAAGACATGATGTCAGAGCTAAAGATGAAAACTCACGAAGGCTGGCATCAATAAAGGAAATCCAAAGAGACTGATCGGTTGATGAGCCTATCTCAAGGTGGCCTTTTTATCAGATGTCGCAGTATACAGCCAAGCATCTAAAAAGTCAGCGCGATGCTGGCTTACGTCACGATAAGTGGCAGATAAATCACGACCGGTGCTATAAAACGTATATAAACACGATTTCGTTAACTCTCCCGCGTTCTTTGCACGCGCACGCATATATGCGTGAGCGTATGCTACTCATCCACGGCACACATACATGCATATCGCGGAAATGTGCATCACGACCGTAACAGTCAAGGTGATTATTTAGCTACCGATCTTATCGGCTCTTTACAGCGATGTTGAGTTGGAGAATGCCTACGGGTCTTATTTATTAAAATCCTCGACGTGTGTTATACGCCGCGAAGTGATTTTTACACGAGTAACGAAGAACACGCGGGCTGTACCGGGTCATTTTAAATGTATGACTAGTCTCAAATTTTTTCGAAACAAGGATAAGTCTTAAAAATAAAAAAAATTTTATTAAGAATTTAAATCATCTTAAAATGATATCGAAAGTCAAATTTTCAGAAGTTTTAAGAACCGTGTAAACTTGGAAACATAGTTTATGATTTTTGAAAAATTACTTAACTCTTTTTAAAAATACTTAATAATCAGACAAAGATTATTTACTAATTATGGTTTCAAAATAAATTGACATGTGTGGATTACATAGATAATAGCATGTAATATTTAAAAAAAACTAATAAATTGGAGATGAAATCGACTTTTGTACGATTAATATTATTAGTGATTTGTGGTGCAATAAAAGGCTTAAAATTGTTTAATGTGGTAATAGTTTCTATCTAATTATTCAAAGGAGTCCATGAAATTTTGCAAATATTTAATTACCGAACTGTTATGTCCAAGCTCCGATTCTGAGAAAAGCTACGGAAGGGCGTAACGAACTTTACCCGAAATTCGGTCACATACGATCCCCAAATTTCTGAAGGGACAACAGAGGAGCGCAATCGAATTCGGACTCCCGCGGGTACACACCGTGGAGTGTCTTGCGAATCATACGTATATTTAAATGCTCCGAAAAGTGAGACAGTATCCCGAAAGAGACACTATAGGTTTGTTCGCGTCGCTTGCTCTAAATGAACCTAGAGAGCACTTGGATTACAGGTAAGATGGCGGTAGGAGCAGTGAGAGATTCAGATGATCCAACGTTCAGCAACACAAACGGATTGGAACAGATTAGGACAAGCCTCAAGCCTGTGCTACTGTGTGCAAATCCGTCCCAATCCATTTTAAAACAGATCTTAACAGTATAAAAGAATTTGTTTTTAAAGTAGAGAAAGAAATATACAATTCTCTGCTTTACAAACACATTTCGTCGATATGACGGATTTCCTAATACCTCTATAGTCATCAACTTTAACGCTTAATATCTCGGTTTACGGAACCGTCCTAACGTTTTTTCTTACAGATTCTTTCGTTTTGTACAAAAACGCGTCAAATAAGCCTAATTTAATCAAAATTGGAGATGGTTATCATATTCTAAACAATTACCTTCAGTTATTACGCATGCGCGCGTTGTTATGCTTTAACAGCACTACCTTCTGAGGTGAGACAAATAGAGCGTGCTCTGAATTGTTTCTTGGAGTACACTCTAACGCGACATGAACGTCGTGAACATTTAGCAACCATATTAGTTCCGGTGACGCGAACGTATTGGAGCGCGAGGAGCATGTTGCAGCGTGCGACGCGAACAAACCTTACGACACCCTTTTCCGTGAGCGGCATGAACGTCGGTCCTTTAAATTTTAGGTCAGGGAACTTAATCCCTATGACCTAGGAGTGGAACTGTGCGATCTATGGGCTTAAGGGGAAGTAGGGAAAGAATATAAGTAAGGGGTTAAATAAAATTTAAGCGATTTTACATTTGAGACAATTATTCTTAAATATTTATTAATTACAAAAAAGGAAATTAGAAATAAATAAAAACAAATGAATGATAAATTATTATTAGGTATATAACTTGAAACCCGCCCTCTAGCAATAAATAGCTGTAGCTTTGATAATCGTCAACTATAATCGCTGAACAAAGGCATCATTTATAGTTTGGACCTTTGTCAATAATATTCAGTATATAAAAGTTTGTGTTTGTGACAACAACATAGTTGTTCACTGCGAAGAAGATGTCTGAATTTCAACCAAAAAAGCATCATTTGCGCGAAGCTTTGCTTTTCAGTTTCAATTTGAAGAAAACTACTGCTGAATCTCATCGAATGCTTGTTGAAGTTTATAAGGAACTTGCTCTATCTGAAACAACTTGCAAGGAATGGTTTCGACGATTCAAACTTGGTGATTTTAACACGAATGATAAAGTACGTCATCGATACAGAACTGCAAGCAATGGTGGATGAAGATCCACGTTAAACACAAAATCAATTCGCAGAAACGTTGAATGTTACTCAAGCAGCTATTTCCAAGCGTTTAAAAGCCATGAGAAAGATATACAAGGTAGAAAGATGGGTACCATATGAATTGAAAGAGAGAGACATCGGAAGGCGAAAAACCATCTCCGAAATGCTGCTTGCAAGGCAAAAAAGAAAGGGGTTTTTGCATCGAATTGTGACTGGCAATGAAAAGTGGATCTATTTCGATAATCCCAAACGTCGGAAAACAATTTACGATTCAGACCAACCATCGTCATCGACGCCAAAACGGAATATTCATGGGAAGCAGGCTATGCTCTGTACTTGATGGGACCAGAAGGGTGTAGTGTACCATGAGCTGTTGAAATCTGGTCAAACAGTCACAGGAGATCCTCTACCAACAACAAATAATCCGTTTGAGCCAAGCATTGCGCAAAAAACGACCAGAATATGAGACAAGACAGAATAAATGTGATCTTGCTTCACGACAACGCTCGACCTCACGTCACGAAACTCGTTAAGGAAACGTTAGAAGCACTTCGCTGGGAAGTGCTAGCCCATGCGGCTTATTCACCAGACTGCCCCTTCCGACTACCACTTGTTTCGGTCAATGGCACACGCACTTGCAGAGAAACACTTCAACTCTTATGAAAGCGTCGAAAAATGGGTCTCTAACTGGATTGCCTCTAAAGATGAGTCGTTTTTTCGCTGTGGGATCTGCTTATTACCAGAAAAATAGGAAAAAGTCATATCTAACGATGACCAATACTTTGATTGATAAATTCTTTTTACTTATTTTTTAAATAAAAACTTAATTTTGGCAAAAAAAAAGGGCGAGTTTCAAGTTATACACTTTTTTTTTAACATTGGGAAATGCATTACTCATACCCTCCCTCTTCGGAGGAAGAGGGGAGGGTTATGTCGGACTCTCCTCCGGATACCATGGCATCCGGAGGCCTACCGACTAAAACCCAACGGGGACCTATCCTAGCGTTAGGTGGAACCAGCTCCGGAACTCTACAATGTAACACATCAGAGCCGGCCCCCGCAAATCGCGAACGCGAGCCTATCCTAATGATGCGAGGAGATCCCACCTCCTCGCACTCTTCCTGACACGCCGTCAAGGAGACATCAGGCCCTCGCCCGATGCCCCCAGCGCCCAGGGCTCAAGACCTCTCCAAATTAAAGTTGAAGAGGAGAGGTCCTCCGCCAACAACCACAACTTAGGCTATAGGACCCCCCCAAGTTACAGATGAAGAGGAGGGGTCCCATATCGGGCCTGCCCTAACCGCAAAGTCACCATTGCATCAACCTGCTAGTCAGTTTGACGCTGTGCCCTTCCTTATAGCCACAGAAAGGGGGAACACTGCTATCCAGCTCCCCCAGCGCGACTTACCTCTAGGACCAGCTACTCCACTAGTCGGTGCAGCTGGTCGCTTCCTTAAAGCTAAGAAGGGGGGGACGACACCACACCTGGTGTCTCGGATCCCCTCCCAACGCTACCTCCTGGATGTCCGTAACAGATTACGGAGGTTGCGGGTTAATATCCCGACTTCCTCTCCGCCTAACATCACCCCACGGTAGTTAGACCTCCCTGAGCAGAGAAGAAATCTTCCCCGAAGTTTTCACCCTACCTTTCTTCTTCTTCATCCTATTTGGGATGCTCACCGATCCTCCCTCTTGAGCAGACGAAGAATAGTCGCTGCCACCACTTGTCGAAACCGACTCACAACCCAAGCTGCCAACTCTATGGTTTACCTCCTTACCTTTGTGCTCACACACTATACAGTGAAATCGCGAAACGCAATCCCTTGCTCGATGACTTAGTTGTCCACACTTATAGTAAGAGGTGGTAAAATCCCTCTCGCTCTTACATTGCGATCTAATGTGACCGACCTCCAAACACTTGTGACACTGAAGTGGCCTTGCCGGAAACAACTCCACCCGCACCACCGTCAAACCGAAGCTAATCTTCCCTTCCTTACAAACAGCCTTAACCGCCACCACGGGAAGACGAATCCACATCGCACCCAAATCACCTGTAGCAAGAGTAATCTTTCCCATCCTTACTTTATCTCTGCTACACATACCTACCTGTAGGATACTCTCCAAGACCTCTTTGTCGATGGAATCCTCCAAATTGGTAATCCGAATGTCGGCCATTACTTCCGGACGTGATACCGTCACCCCTCCTTATCTTTGAGGACTTCTTTCAGTTTGGTCGCCAAATGGTCGGCCTTACTACTCGAGTCCTCCCCTCCGAGCTCAAGGAGCAAATCTCCTGTTCTAGTTTTCCTAGGAAAGATATCCCCTATTTTTAACGGCTTAATATCCACTCCCGCTTTGGCCACACGCATGGCCTCTGCGTATGTGGTACCCTCTCTGCAAGCTATCTGAATAGCAGATAGCTTAGTAATCTTCCTGCCAGTTCCGGGTTTGACTGCCCTCTGTTTAATCTGCGGAATTTCAACCGAAGAAGAAGACCTCCGCTGCCGCCTACCAACGATCCTTGTCCATGGAACTTCCTTCTTCGGGACGTCAACTACAGGCCGAGCGACCTTAACGTCAACGTGCTCAACGCCTACCTTGTCACCAGAGGTATCGCAACTCAAGTCCTCAGCATTGCACTCTTTCACCATGTCCTCATGCATCTCACAAAGAGTCCTGCAGGCCAGACAAAGTCCCCTCCAAACATTGAATATCTACCTCCTCCCTCCTGTCATCGCCAGTAATAGGCACTGCCAGCGACTGAGTCTCACCACCAGTCGCGCCCCCCCTCCCCACACACAATGGGGTCCTCATCTCTGCTGTGATATACACGCACACCCGTGCGCGCCCACACACACACACACACACACACACACACACACACACACACACACACACACACACACACACACACACATCCTTCCACCCACCCACCCACACACACACACACACACACGCACGCACGCACGCACGCACGCACGCACGCACACGGGATCAGATTCCTGTCACGTCCACGCCGTTGATCCTGGATAATGCCAAGAGCAGGACATACACATGCATATGTATATACATACACGCCCCCCCTCCCACATACACAGACACACACACACGCGCGCGCGCGCGCGCACACACACAAATTAAGATTCAATTCCGACCTGTCAAACTCGATAAAGTTCATATTGACATGAATTACAGCCATAATTTGTGCTAATGACAGCGATACCTTAAATTTGGAATAACTCAGTGAAAAATGATCGTATCAAACTCCGTAAAAAAGCATTTTAAAAATAAAAGTCCATATTTTCATGTGCATTTTGTCCCATTGAGCTGCGATACTTGATTCACGCCGTGGATCGTCGCAAACTCGCACCTTTGATTACAAATTTTACATCTTCTCATTTTGTAATCCGCCATTTTGAAAAAAATTACCCCTTATAATTGCCGTTCAAATATTCTTAAAGTGGACACTTCAAGCTTTATTTTCCTTTTTTAAACATATTTTTATCTTTATTATTTACCAAGTTATGATCATTTGAAATTTGGTAAATTTTTCCTAATTTTTCAGTGTACCGCTTTTTTTGCATGCGAGTGTATAATACTAAAGTAAAAATTGATAAAAATCTAGTGAAAAAACCTTGTCAAATTTTAAATAAAATGCTCAACTCACCAACGAGATCATACACAAATTAAAAATAGAAAATCGGTTCATCTGTGTATAACCTCGTTGGTGAGTTGAGCATTTCATTTAAAATTTGACGAGGTTTCTTCACTAGATTCTTATCAATTTTTATTTCAGCATTATAGAGATTGGTTTACATACGATTTTTCAATCGTTTACCAACAATGTCATGTGGAGAATCGAGGAGTCAATATCAAAATGTTCTTTTATCGTTTCAATGATCTATATATATATCGACATTTGTTATATTTCAATATCTGAAGAGGGCTCAATCCAAGAGCCGATGTTTTGTAGTATGTGTTAGTATTATTGGTAAACCTTCGGAAAAGGCACATCCTCGCAAAAAAAAATTATATTAGTGTATGTAGGCGTATTTTTGCCTCCTGATTCCGAATATGATAATAAAAATTGGCGGTCGGACACATTGAAGCCGCTATCTCGAAAAAACTGTCAAAAAACATGATTTTTTCCAGTTTTTTGCATTTATTTCAAAAAATATGCAACAGACGAGAAAATGTTTCAAACAAAAAATAAAGAACATAAAATTCTCTACAAAAAAGGTACTATGCATTTTCTTCGTAATGTCAATGGTAAGCCCGTAAATGAAGGGCGAACATGAGTATAATCATAATTGTACTGTCGGGGCAGACCTCTGACGACGGTGTGGGTGGCCGGAGGCCGAAGGCCGCCCCCTTGCACCCGCCCGTGTGTGTGTGTGTGTGTGTGTGTGTGTGTGTGTGTTCCACTCGTTATATAATGATTATGAGTCTATTACTTAATGTTTTACACACACACACACACACACACACACACGGGCGGGTGCAAGGGGGCGGCCTTCGGCCTCCGGCCACCCCCCTGCACCCACACCGTCGTCAGAGGTCTGCCCCGATAGTACTATCATAGCAACGCCAAGTTTTTTCTTCACTATAATCCAGTTGACAATTATAGTCACTTTCGGTCTGTCTTATGTGACTGGCGTAATGAAGAATACACTTGGTCAATTATATTTATCTCATATCTGTTTTTGATCAAAAAGTTCAATATATTTTTATGCACTTGGCGTATGTTTTTTCTTTTTTTAAAAAAAGGTTTTTTTAAGAGATTTCACCGCTTTTTGTAAATTTTGAAAACGTGATAATAATGTAGGAAATTTAAATCCTCTAAAAATAAATGCAGATTCTATTTCTAAAATAGTTATCGGGACTCGGTCTCTAGATCTCTGTATCGGCTGCACCAATTTTATTCGAACTGGTCGCAATCGAAGGATACCGATGACATTATGTAATAAAAGTGTTTTTAGATTTTTGATTGGGCTTTTAAATTCTGAGTAATTTTAATCTAAAGTTTGAAGATGTGAAAACTCGAGATAAAGCTAGTGGTAGCGTCGTGAATTGACAGCGCCATGAACATATACACGCATCAATCAAGTCAAGCGATTATGTCAAGCAGTCAAACAGTTATATTTTTATTTTATGCACTTGGCGTCGCTTGATATATTTCTACATATTAGATCTCCTATTATCGCTTTTATTTTGATATTGCTTTTTCGTTCTCGCAATGTTCGCTCTCTACAGCTCTCTTGAATTGTTCTTGTGTGCGTGCGATTGACTATATCGATGACGATATATATAGTGCCGCGCAAGCGCAGTATGCGTCGCTACCAGCACGTGATGCAGTGCACTCCCTTACGGAAAAAAACTATTGGTAAATGGTGAAATGGCCAATAGTAATTTGGCCAATAGTTAGTACTGTTGGTGAATAGTTACTATTGATCATTAGTTATTGTTGGCCAATAGTTACTATTGGTCAATAATTCCTCGTAAAGAAGGTCAGTTTTCTCTAATTACTGTTAAATTGTTAAAATAAGTATTACTAATTAGCATCAATTTTAGAATAAAATCGTAAAAAAAAGTTTTCCTCGAAAATTCAAGAATTAATTTTTTTCATGATGTTTCCCAAACGGTCACCCATCCGAAGTTGTACCACGAACCTCGCTGCTTAACCTTGACAATCGTACAGGAACTGCTGTACTTCAATGACCCACGAATCTGTATATGTCAACGTCTATATAATTGTGATATATCTGTTCAATGGAAATATTAAAAACAGATGGTTATGTGTTTATATGATAGTGTATGTATTATTTCCGCAAGTGTAATGCGCATGACGTATCATTTTTTATCTTTGTTTTTCATCGAATGACGAATATTAAAGAATATAATGATACATCAAATAATAATGCACAAATAATAACAAATAATTCATTAAAATCGATTTCTTTATTCAAATTTGTATAAAAATTATTTCCGCAAGTGCAGAAATGTTTTAGGCGAATAGTTACTATTGGATCCAATATTATTCAAACTATTGGAGACCTAATAGTAACTATTGAAGCATCAATAGTAACTATTGGAGTCCTAATAGTAACTATTGAAGCATCAATAGTAACTACTGGAGTCTCAGTAGTAACTATTGGAGTCTCAGTAGTAACTACTGGAGTCTCAATAGTAACTACTGGAGTCTCAGTAGTAACTACTGGAACACCAATAGTAACTATTGATTCTTAATAGCTTTTCCGTAAGGACTGTCCTAGCGTATTCTATGTTAAGTATTCCATGTTAGAACGTTGCTCGATCCTTGCTTACAGTTGCTCAGCATTTCAACGTTACGTAACGTGCAAAGGACTTAACTCAACTCAATGGCAATACAAGACAGCGTTGAGTTGTCATAAATCATGAAAGTACTAGGTGGTAATGTTTACCATATTTTTCGGTCTTAGTGAAACTAATCCAAACTCGAGTTATCGTAAGCACCCATTGTGTATCTTATAAACTACTTTCACGGTTATATATGACTAAGTTTCCACCGAGAGTTCGAGTTGAGTTGGAATGTGCGAATTGACTAATTACAGTCGAAATTGATTGTTGACTAATTATAGTCAAATGAGAGAGGAGTTCAATTGTGGTTGGTCGGTTCTTGCACGATCTGGTTTGAACTTTCGATGGAAATTTTTAGTTCGTATTGCCTCGCGCGGTTTGTGGTTGCCTGACTCTTTTCTAGACTGTTATTTCCAACGTATTGTGCAACGCGGGACCTATGTTTATACATATAACAAAACAAAAATAGATAAAAGACCGGTTAGTATGCATAATTTATTGGCTACATTGTGTTTTGGATCAGAAGGCGATAAAACTAGGTTTTTGGATACAAAATTATGTGAAGTTTTATTTAGTATGTTCATATTTTTAAATGTAATATATTGCTTTTCCTTAGATTTAATTTCATTTGCACATTGACTTAATTTTTGGGTTTATATGACAAACAAAATATTCATTAATGTGCTTGTTCTGTTTTCACATTATATAATTCTATGGCAATCTCCTTTGCAGATGCGATTAAACTACGATTTCTAGACAACTTTTTGTTAGACACTGAAGCTAAAATCAAGCGTTGGTTCCAAACTGCAAATGGAAGGAAAGAATCCACTAATTCTATTTTTTTAAATATACCTAAGCATAAGCAACAGAAACAAGACAATATATGTAGTCTGTGTGTATATACAGGGTATGAATCTTAATTTGTGTTTCATTATCGGAAATGCATTGCCAATTGTAACGCATAAGAGAGAGTGCACGTATAAAAAATGTAACGTATAATAATAAGTATTAAAAAATGCACGTATAAAAGAATGAAATTCACCTCTTATGGTAAAAGTAACGTTGGAATACGAATTAAGATCCTTATATAGGATGTTCCAATAACTATTATCATCTGAAATATAGCTTCCTTCGTACTGTCACAGTATAGGTAAGTACAGTAGTAAGTTTCACTCTCCAAAATTTATGGGTGCGCGAATCGCACCACTGTCATCATGGCATCGATGTCACGTATGGATACTGTGTCACTGTGTGTCACTGTGGTGTCGATGTGTGTAGTGAAAACAAAGGCCTCGCACAACCAACAACATGGCTG